GGAGAAACGGGATAGAAGTTGAGAGAGAGAGAGGAAACGATAAATAATGCAGCAGGAGGAAAGACGGTGGTAAAAAGGAGCAAAAGGAAGTAAACGTACGCGATTTCTTCGAGTCTCTACTTCACTTTCGTCGCGACATTTTCCCCCTTTCGAACACGCGCGGCTTTTAAAAACTGCGAGTCACGGAAACCCGAAGAGAAGCGACCACGGAGCGCTTCTTTTCCGCTTATCGTTGCGCGCACTTGGTTTTTCAAATTTCATGCATGTCCAGACACGCGAAAGTAGTGCGCAATTATATATCGATATGGGAAGAGAAAAAGAGAGAGAGAGAGAAAGACGCCGATCGTCGTCGGCAGCGGCGACGATGCGCGATGGCTGCGCGCTCGCGGAAAGTAAACGTGACCAACTCGTATCGCGCGCGCCTGCTTAACATATACTGAATACGTTTCGGCCGGAGCGCTCCGCTATACTGGAGCTCGACGCTCGGCTACCTTCGATCGTCCCCGGCGACCTTCGGCCGCGCAGACGACCGCGGCCGAACCGACCAACCGATGCGTTGCCCGGCCGACGAGACCCGCGTCCTCCCCCCCCCCACTCGCTCAGATTTACCTCGCTACCTGTCAAAACATCGCGCGCTACGTTCTTTCACATTTATTCAGGAAGAATTTGTATTTGCATGATGGTAATGTATGGAGAGTGAAAGCGATAATGGTGTAAGTCATTTTTTAAACCTGTCGACTTGAGGTCAATGATGCAGTCTACGTAAGTCGTAAAGGAAAATATCATTCTAATAACGCGCGAAGAAAAAAAGTGATTAATCATTTTTTTGTCTTTTAAATAACAATTATCGTTAACAAGAATATTTTCTTGATAATAATCTTAAAATATACTTATTACCAAATTTTAGAAAAACTCATTATGTATATTCAAAAACAAGAATTTATTTTCTTTTGAAGAATATTATAAAATTGAGCGAAGCAACTCTTATATAATATAAGCAAATTGAATTTTTTTTGTTTAATAATCTTCATTAAAGTATATTAAATTTACTAGAATTCAGAATATGTTTTGAATAAGATTATAATGCTTGTGATAAACTTATGATAGATTTACAGATATGTGAAATACTTCAAACAATTGTTTATTATTTGCGTACAATATGTACACAAATATGTTAGAAATAGTAATTTAACACAATTTACATAATATTGAATTTTTTTTTATAAATACGTATAAGTAATACGTTTTTATTTTTCATTTTAAACGCGAAGCGTTTACTTTCAAGTTTAATTATAACGTAAAAAGATTAATATGCTCTTTTTTGCATTATAGAATTAATGCGTTTTTTTAATCATAAATGTATATTTTGTAATTAATAAGCAACCGATATCTCTAAAAAATTAATTCTCCCGGACTGTCCTTACACGAGGATAAGATTTATCTGAAAATTATTTATGACTTACAGTGATTTAGTAAAGATGAATTTATATGTCAATTAACAAAAACATTCAAAAATATCCTCATGTGTACCTCGAAGCTGTGTAAGTGTTACTCTTAGTAAACAATTTAAATTTTATTTTATCGCTACGTCCTCTCGAATAATTTATACGAATGGAATTAATTTTCGTTGTTCTTTTTTTAAAGATTAAAACACTAGCAGCAAAAGTGCATATCATAAAAAATGTTCGTATGAAATACACTCATTGTAACAACATACATCATTACACACAATATATTGGTACACAAGTCTGATGTACGTGATATGTACATTGTGACACATTAACCGTGTGTTATTAATCGTCGTTACCAGACACAGTGCGACAGTTTAAATCAGTTTCTACCTCATTTGAAAGTACATTAAAACAACAGAACCGTGTCCTGCAGCATCATTAGTTTGACAATCGTTCACTCGGAGAAACTGTAAACTCGCTTAAAGCGTGAACTCGTTAAAGTTTGAAACATTAAATTGTTTTACAAATACAGAGAATCGTAAATCATTTTAACATGCAATACGACTTTATGATCTTATTCAAAATGATAATAATTTCTCTAAATTAATTTAATATTAAACACGATTTTATTATTCAGTCATCATTTTGTAATTTAAATATAATTTTATAATTTCATTATTCAAGAGAGAATCTTTAATCATCAATCGATAATGTGCTATAGCCGCGCATATTTTGCATATTTTAAATACAGCCAAATTTTTTTATCTTTGTAAGTTTCTCGTCACAATTTTATTTATGTTAGTGATACGTCAATGATATTCCCCTATCACTATATATGCATAAAAGTAACTCCGGCACATTGTCGAGCATACGCGTTCGCGTGTATACATTATGCAAATTGATTCCATCGATTGGCCACCAGACTCACCGCGCGAAATATAGACTTGTTGCACGTTTCAAAAGCTCTATCCTGATCTCTAGAACATGCTCCACCTGTAACTCGTATTTATACCACGCAATCTCAAGAAAATCATATTAAAAAAGAACAAATATGATAACGAGTCTTCCAGCAACGTGTCTATTGTGAATGTACTTTACAAGCGTTTCTAGAATATATTTAATTTGCATTTCAATTCAAAATGTAATAACGAAAAGATATACCGAGAAAAAGTATATTAAATTTTAATAAATATTTGAATAAAAATAACCTAACATCTACATATAGAGAAAATAAGTATTTACTAAATCAAAAATATTATATTTAAATTAAATAAATGGTTCATGTATCAAATAAATATATGTTTATATTTAGCAAATATTTAGTAAAATTTAGTATATATTTCTCTCAATAATATTTGAACGTAAAAATTCAGATTTTTCTTTTATTTCTCAATTTATTTTATTATAAAAATTAAAGATAATAATTACATTATATTAAAGTCTTAATTTTTGTAAAAACGATATATGATAATTTTACATAAATTTTAAAGTAACATTAGGGTAAATAATGAAAACCATTATGTTTTCCATTATGACTCCGTATTTAGAATTGTAGAAAAGTCTAATTATTGTAAGAAGAACAAGGTCAAAATAATTTATTTCTATGACGAAAAATCGTTAAAATTTTCTTGGGTTATTTATATCATAAGATTCATAAGTTTGTACCTTATATAATCTATTCGTCGTGAATACAAACGTATGCTATTTCAATTTGATCGATTCATCCCGTATTGATGGCATTTCTCCGAACATTTCGATAATTTCATTATCGATTGCTAGTCACGCGCAATTCGCCACGTGCAATTTGCCAAACGAGCGACATTTTCTCCGAGTTTACAGACGATTAAGGGTTGTCGTAATTATTTTAAGAGGCTTCTTCGTGGGAGCGGTGCTGTTGCCGATTGCTATGTGTCGCCAACGACGGCGCCACTCTTCTTACCACTAATATGGGAGTCATTATGCCTGGAATGTAAGCACTTTTCACGAGATTATCTAATGCACTTTTATTTGATTTGAAATATTTGCACATAAACGAAGACGAGAATGATTCGTCTTAGTAAAAAAACATCATTTGATAAAAGCTGTTTATAAAATAAAATTGTCACTAATCATGTTTCATTGTTATATCTTTTCATTTTGCTTGCATCCAGTAGATACAATTGCACAAAATAGTTTAAAATAAGATGAAAATCAGCGGCAAGGATAAATTTTTTAATTTAGTTTAGAATTGGTTTTTTTTAATCGAAAATTTTATCAAAGATAACAATTTATCGTACATTTTAATTTCTGTCATTAAATACTTCAGCTTTTATCTTCAATTTTTAAATATAATGGATAAAAAAAAGATGTGTGTGTGGAATATTAATTATATAATTTTTAATTTTTCCTTTATAATTATTAATTATTCGTACATTATCTTTTAAATTTAATATTAAAAAATAATTATTATTACAACTCTTTTATATCTAATGAGTTTTAAATATCGGAAGAAATGGCATGTGTTAATACGACCAGAAAAAAACAAAGCCAATGACGCAGATCTCTTTGTATTGCAAACAATATTTTTATAGAAACTAAAAGAAGAGACGTATATATTTTATTTCATCATAAAGTTTCCTAAATATGCCGTGTAAACGCAGGGAATACATTTCTCGCGAAAAGTCAAGAAAAAAAAAAGATTAACGAGAAAAATGAACAAGAAGAAACACTAACATGTTTAAATGCAAAAGGCATAGCGAAGAGTAGCCATTACGATTCGCAGTAAATGATAGGTAGAACGACATTATCGATCCTTATCGCGAGCTCGACTTTACTGAAGAGAGCAGCAAATCGAGCGGGTTTTGCTTGCTACCGGTTACCCAAGAATCATACAGGATGATAATGAGAGCCTACTATCTCATACCAAGCCAACCATAATTAGCTCGTTGGTAATACATGGTTGTCGTCGGCGCGATTAGTGCTGTCTTCTTTCGCGAGTCGTCTCGTCGTATCGCAAATTGCCGGAATTGGGTAACTGAATACGAGTTTTCTGATTACAAGCGAGTTTCTAGCAGTCTTTCTAAACTTGCGTCAACGTCGATTTTTCATATATATATATATATATATATATAATATATGTTATATATATGATCTAATAAATTCAGTCGTTAATTATCAACAGAAACTCTTTCCATACAAATTCGAACATAATATGAAATTTTTAAAAGAGGGTGACCATATTAGGATTAACAGAACTTATACCATGTACATAATTTATGACAAATTTTATTTAATTTATGGAATACTATCTTTTTTAAATAATTACGATACGAATCGACAATTACAATTTAATTAATCGTAATAATTGGATATCGTGGAATTTTATTAGAATTATAATGAATATTGGTAAAATGCGTTAAAATAACAATTAATGAAATCTTGCCAGTGCCTACAGCAATATATGAATAAATTAATATAATGTATTTTCATTGGAACAAAGTCCATGTTGAAATTATTTTATTCTTTATTAAAGATATTCATATTTATATTTTTGGAAGAAATTGCAAGGAAAATAGCATGTATAAAGTTTATTTTAATATTGTAATGATCTTTTTGTTTGTATATCATCCAATATCGTTCTGAGTTCTTCATCTTCTAGGCGTCCTTCGAGACTCGGGATGAGAGCTTTCGCCTCCTCAGGAGTTTCGGGACACAAGTTGGCTAACGAAGCAATTTCAAATTTGTGTAGCTTCTTTTGCATCAATAAACTGCAACGTAAAAATATTATATTTCGCATTATATTTTACTCATTTGTATATTTCGTGATGTTATAATATATTACAAGTATTTTACATAACATTCCATTTAAAATGACTTATCTGTATTAATAAGTTCATAAATATTAATAATCTAACCTTCTAACAGCTGCGATTGTCTCTTTATTTTTTAACTTTCCAAATCGGTTAGTATATGTTAAGCTCTTCATGAAAACTTCGGAAAATTCTTGTTCTTCTTCCGCAGATTCGTTTTGAGCTTTTCTGTGCTCAAGAAGCATATAAACTTCTGATATCAACAATGTCTCTGCATTTTCAAATTCTGCGAAGGAATTTATTGCCTTCGTTATTTGAATAATAAATTTACAAAAGAAAATCTTAATAAAAACGGCAGGCTAAAAAAGAACTTACAATCTATTTTACAAAATCTTTTTTTCTAAATATACAAAATTTTCGTTTATTAAAAATCATAATTGTCTTATAATTATTTTTTTCTAGAAAAATGCCGAATTTCCATTAATATAATCATTTTATTTAAAAATATATTAACTTAATTTAAGTATATCACAGTATTAATACTGCATTTCGTACAGTATATTTTGGCACCGTATCGGCTTCTTTGAAATAGAATCATTGAGCTGGCTTATTTATATGCCCCTTCTCCACCAAGAAGTCATATATCTTTCGCGTTTTGTTCACGTCGATTTTTAGGAGAATACGGGCCTGTGCTAATCTAAGATGACCACCCTTCTTGCTTTCCATTATCAAGAGATGCTTGAAGTCTAAATAATTGGCGGGCATGACTCTCGCGACGGAGCAAAGCTCTCTCTCGTCGGCGCTCAGTTTTTCGTATCCCGGTAAACCTTTTATAGCGAGAGGCGGCGCTGTTTTGCGTTGTGTGTTTCCGATCAGAGCTGTGTTACAGCTAACAACGTTATCTGGCAATAGATTTCTCCAATTGTATTCTGGATTGTTTAGATACTGCTTTCTTTCCCGTTCATATTCCTGCCTCAGTTTACTTAGCTTCTGGAACATGGGTACGCTATGAAAGTGCTTGAGCCCATTTTGCCTGAACTCCAGTAACCTATTGATACGATTCTTTAGCTCGCCGACGCGATGAAGACCTTCCATGAGAAGATCAAATTTTATCCCATCTACGAGCTGCATGAATATCAGCAATCTCTCTGCGAGCGGCCTCGTTATTGTATTCTCGTATCTCTGTAGCGATAATATAACTTTGCGTAATGCAATTAAACCATGTTGGCGAATAATTCTGTGTCTTCTCTTGCGCTCCTTTAACCTGTTGTTATATGCCTGTACTATTGCCACTTGCAATGCTTGTCCTAATTCGTATGTGTTGTCATCTGGTTGGAAGTCGTCGAATTTGAGCTCAGATATCAACGATTCTGCATGATTATCGAAATTCACCTCGAAATCAGATCTAGCCGCGTTATAACCTGCCAACAGTCTGCTGTTGGTCGTGTTTGAAGCAAATCTAGGAGGTTCTTCCAGATCTTGCAACTTGTACAAGTAAGGTATTGGTTCACAGCCAAATAAGCTGACTTTATTCTCCTCAATCTTCGGCAGACCTGGCAAAGTCTGATTTTCAATGTAATGCTGTAAATAATGTGTTTTACACTCATTGACAGATTTTCTATGCATCCTACGTCCTATATCTATCCAATTTCCGAAGCCACATTGTTGCAAAACATCCAGTAACTCAAGCTCTTGCTTGGCAGTCCAATTGCTGCCCTCAATCAAAAGAAACTCGTTCTTTATAATGGCATAGTCATGATCGTTCTTGTGTTCGTCAATCTCACAGCCCTTGGCAAAGCACGGTGGACATATCTCGACATCAGTGCATATGGCGCAACGAATGTATGGTTCCACTAGGATAGACCTGCACACGCGGCACATCGGATCTGAGGCAAGAATTTTGTCCTTCAAGACTGACACCTCAAGTTCTACGTCATTCTCAGATTTATCTGTTGGACTCAATAAACAGACTGAAAGAGGAAAATCGTTACCTTAGACTTGACCGCTCGGATGTGCAGGCATTTTAAAGTAATGTTAACGCAAAAAGCGAATATACTCTGCGGAATTGTTTGAAACTGCGTGTGCTTAAGCTTCATAACGTGAGTCAAGATTAAAAATTTACATTAACGTGTTAACACTGCTGTTGTTTACACAGCAGCAAACTGCATTTACACATTTGTTCCGTTTCTTCTTTTAGCGGGTAAATATCAGCAGAGTTAAAATGTAAAACAATTGATTAGATTTACATTTTTTATTGTAAGCTCGTGCAATTTCAAAGCCCTCGCAATTAATTACATTCACTTCTACTGTTATTATTAACAAGTATCACGAAAGTGAGGTTAACTGTAACGTTTCTGTCAGTTCGTAGATAACGGTTAAGAAATAAATATACCTTTCGGGAACTGCAGATCTGCTGCATCCTCCTCTGTCATATCCGTGAGATTAGGATTGGCCATGTTGACTGATTTTTACTAAATATATCTTTTATTCACCATTAATAAAAACGTTGCCGCGTCCAACACAGTCATGCTTCATTCATCCTAACCCAACTTGTCCTCCTCAGTCCCTCTACACAAGCCCAAGATAAGTCACGTGCAGAAGTGCTTAGTGGCGCAATCAGGTGACAAAATAGCAAACGTTTACACAACATTTTAGACCAGCCGGTATGAAAGTCTTTAAAAAACATTCCTCATATCTTAAGTTTTTTTATTATTTAGATTCAGATGGAGAAAATTAATTCTCGTTTAATTTATAAGATGAGAAAATTGTTACATAAAATTAATTTGCGTTTAAGGGGATGCTGGAGTGCCTGTTTTATCATTATTTAGTTAAAGACTCGTTTCTCTTAATTGCATTTACGGATGGAAAAATCCTTCTGCATAATTAAAACATCGACAACAATGAATTGCGCTAGCTACATTTTAATACGAAAAACGGAAGAAAATTAAAAACTTACAGTTTCGTTATCGGCTTCTGCAGTCGACTCGACACATTAAGCTGGTTCTACATTAGTTGCAAGTCGATCGCAAGTTCGTTGCGACAGCCAATCTCAAGCTTGCATTTTGAAATCAACGCTTCAGATTGGCTGTCGCAACAAACTTGCGATCGGCTTGCAACTAATGTAGAACCGGCATTATGTGAGAAGCCGATAACGAAACTGTAAATTTTTTTCCGTTTTTCGTATTGAAATGATAGCTAGCGCAATTCATTGTTGTCGATATTTTAATTATGTAGAAGGATTTTTCCATCCGTAAATGCAATTAAGAGAAACGAGTCTTTAACTATAAGTAATGATAAAACAGGACACTCCAGCATCCCCTTATATAATTGATTAAATTCATTTATTTAAATATCTCGTTTAATCATTTCGTTACTTTTTACGTACACAAAATTATTTTACAATACGTATAAACTTTGAAAGAGATAAGATTTCATTAAAAAATACCATCTGCAAAAACGTCTCTATAATTTTTCTTTTTTCGGTAAGTCAAACATTTGTAATATACATATATAGTCAGTTTATAGTTTGATACTAAATTTAATTAACATATCACGTCAAAGTGACATCGCGTGCGCACGACTGCGTTCAAAATATTCTTGTATGCTGTCGGCGCAGAATAATAAAACAGTCTGACAACTGGGAGTTTCAGTGCAGGTACTATTATTTCGTAATGATTTAAATAGCATACTCTATAATAACTCTGTATAACATGCAGAATGTAGACGTTATACTAAATGCGTCCTGAACAATAAACTAGGCGTCGCTTGAAAATGCGGGATAATTAAGGTCAAACGTAGAGCGATAACATCGGAATACCTAATCGAGAGAATCCGCATTGAAATCATTAGTATGCACATTTGTCACCTTTCAATGAGAAACAATGAACGTGAGACCATGAATAAATCGTCTATACTGTTGTCGGAGAAGAGAAATCATTTTCAGGATGCATGTTTGTATCATATATCACATAATAATTTTTAACTTTCCCTTAAAGACAAATATGTTCGAAAAAAGTAGGATTAAATCAACCATCGTCACAAGATGAGTAGAAAATATTAAACAATAAGAATTATCGCAAACAAAGTTTGCTTATAATATCTTAACGCAATTATTGGCACAATATTAGACATCGGCCAAATATTAGCCCAATATATCCTCAATGTTTAATCAATGTATCGTCAATAAATTGTTATTAAGATATCGTTAGATAATAAATAGTATGTGCACGAACATACAAATAAATTAAATAAAATTTCTGATGATTATCTTTTCTCGCTATACGAATTTTTCTTCACTGTAAAGCTTCATTAATAAAAATAAAGGAAAATTGCAATTAGCGGTCTATAAATTTTGTACATGCTGCGAACATTTGCATCAAATTTTGCTGCCGTTAAAATAATTCTTGCGTGGTGCAATACTCGGCACGAATAGAAAAATGAATTTTTAATTAAAAAATTACATTATTGTGTACAGATACTTGAATAATATTTTTTAAATTTCTGCCGTGTATAATTTTTTATTCGTTACGCATTTAAGCATTTACGGTAGTAAGACATTCATGTAGTTGAAATATATACATAAGTATATACGTAACAATAACATTATTATGCGCACATATTAGCCGACATTTTGTGAAAGCATCAGGTAAAACATGTCTTAAACACGCTAATTAACAGCTTTCTATGCCGAAAATGTATTGTTAATAATAACGGTGATTAATTTTTAGAAAATAAAATGTCTTCTAAAAATCAATCACTTTTACATCGCTGAAGAGTATAATTATACAAATGTAATTTTTTTTATGTTTTCTCATTACTTTTAGTATATATATAATTTCCTAAAAATGTAGAGAGCGTCTTTTTATAACTTTATTCAACCAATGGTATAAATATATCAATAATTCACGTTTATTAAAAGTATACAAAATTAATGTTATAATTGAGAAATTAAATTTTAATTAATTTTTAGGAGTATAAAAGAAATTAATTGTATCGTTTTGACATACACAAAACACATTCGTCCGGGGTACCCTATACATACGTTAGAACGTGGAGAATATACTGTTTATCTTTTGCTTTCTATATGTCTCACATGCGCCCTACGAATGTCTCCCGAACCGCACCATCCTTCACGCGACGCGTGTCCTGGAAACAATAGAAACTCGCGCTATACACGAGAAAAGTTTGCTCCGTGCAGTTCTGTCGTGCGAGACGTGGAAGCGTGCATTAATACGCGAAAAGCTGGTCGCTCGGTCGCGGATATTGCGGGAAGTGTCGACGGGAGTGTTACACGTGAGAAGTCGATTTCCGCATTTTCGACGGGATACACGACCTGCTTAAAAATGGAGCTGACGTACGACAACGTCGAGCCGGATTTCTCAAATACGAAGACGCTGCATGTCTGCGAGCTGATAGACAAGAAGGACGAGGACGTTCAGTCGGCACGCAATAGCATCTACGATACTGTTTATGGAGTAACCACCATTAAAGGGTAAGATATCGTTTGGTTTGTCAAAAGACTGTAGGAGAAGGTAGTTAGACAATTGTTCAGCGAAATTCTTTCAGAAGCTTTTCTGCTAAAGCAATCGTTAATCCTTCATTGATCGCGACGTACATATTTATCAATGCCCAGAATTACAAAACTTTCCATACATTTTATATACACGACGACGAAATATTTAAATTATAAAATTCAACTGCCGCATTCGATGTGGTATAACTTATATTATTTACACGTCCCTCTCTTTCACCTCAAAGTCATCGCGCAACGAGCCTCAGGTATTGACCTATCCTATCGTATTGACAATTCGATTGTGTTGCGCAGAAAAACGTTAATCATTGGAGAATTAATAACAATAAAGCAATTTTCATAATAACATATAATGGAATGATAAGTCATCTTTCAAACTATAATTAACTTTGAAAAACGTCTCAAGTAACAATATCCCAGCTAATTGTAAGTTTTTATTAAATCTTTAAGAATCGCGCGACGTAACAGATAAAACGCAAATGAAGGTTATATTCTCCTTTGTGTTTGACAATTATTATTATGTATATATTTTATGAAACGTGTTTTATGAAAGGAGTTGGTAAAATTTACATCTTGTGTGATCGATACTTAACCGTCAGCGAATAATTAATGTTACGTCATCATAAATTACATCCATAAACGTAGCCGGTGCGCTGTTCATTAACAAGAAGAAAAATTGAAATGCATTTTTAACAAATTTTTATATTCTGAGTGTCGAATACAAACATTAATCAATCAATTTGACAGCTCGATTATATCTGATCTATTCTTATTGATATAACTAGAAAGTGACAATGCCACATAAAAAAACAAGTTAAATGTACAAAATAACGAAGAAACTCATGTGTGTTTTACATTTTATATGTCTCTCCTTATATCACCCATAGTTACAAACCACTCTATGTAAGATAAATAACTGCAGGGCTTTTACTGAAAACATCAACGACTTTCTTAACCGGATCCTGAGATAAATTATTAATAACAGCATCGAATTAATATTATAAATAACTGAGTTATATCTCCACGATGTAATTAATCACCCGTGATATTTTACTACTTTGTCGAAGCATTAAAATACATCATACCAGCCTAGCTAATAGACTCTTATTGTTTGCGTAGATTCAAATTGATGACTCCGTAAAATACATAATAGTTATCGCGGCGTCACTTGTATTATCGATAGTAACTGTCAAACGCATCCTAAAATCACAACATGATGTTTAGCTTACAATTAGAGATTTCGTAAAAGAAATCTATAGACCTGACTAACAGTCAGCGAGTTTAAAGAATGTCTTCGTCTCCGCTCAAGCATTAAGAAATGACACTTGTCTCTCTCTCTCTCTCTCTCTCTCCCCTTTGATGGAGTTATTCAACCTTTTACGGTTCAATTACGACTACAATTTATCTCATTAACATCACTGCGAGCGTTTCCACATAACGGTGCACACACTAGTGCCGGTCGATCCCGGTGCAAAGGACTTCACAAGCAATTTACAATTAAAACTGCATAGGATTGCATTTATTTTTTGGCATTTCACCGGTAATTCAAAATTTATTTGTCATTTTATATTTTAATCTGAACATATGCAGGCTGTTGGGTATAATAACCGAGAAAAACCAAAGAGATTAATTTAAAAAAATAAATTAAAAATGTAGAATAATTTTTGAATCCTTTTTTTTTTTCAGAGAGAAAAAAGTTTAAATGTTTGTCAAATACCACATACAAGTGCACACGTAATATCTAAGTATATATACACAGGATTAGGAAATTTACATTTATAATTTATAATATCATTCATGTGAGCTGCGGGTAGTATGTGATTATATCTTCATTAGATTTAATTTACATGACAAAAAATGCTACATGTGACGATTTATAATTCAAGCGGAATATAATTCTATTGTAATAGTATAGAATTCTAAGAAGTTCTTCCCGAAGAACCACTCAATCATGAACCTTCGAACTATCTTCATCTAAATTCAGGTATAGGCAGGTACTACTTA